GGGTGGCAGATATGCAGCTGTGGGTACGGTACTGGAGGTGCCACCTGCACGGATACTGTCGAGGCAGAAGAGAGGGTGGTGCCACAGAGGTAGTGGACCTGGCAAAAGTGGATACCTGCTGTGCCAGTGCAGCTGCCGATGCTGTTGCCGGGCCCAAGACCTACACAAATGTTTGTACCGGTGGTGGCGTGGCACTGTCGGTACCAGTGCTGGTGCCAGTCTGGGGCTGCACTGGATGTCACGATACCAACGGTTGAGCCTATCGTAACACTAACATAGGCTTGAGATGCCCAATGCCAGCTCCTGGATCCAGGCCTGGAGATGAATTGAGCTCAATGAGCTCCAACACAGTGTCAAAAGTCTTGGGGGTTGATGGTCACCAGGCCTCCTCTATCCTAAGGTCCAGCACCAGACACTCCCTATGCGTCAAGCTCACCCAGTGCTTAGCCGGTACAGGAGCATCCTGATGCAACATCATAGCCCAGTGCCCTTCAACATTGTGCACTTTGTGGCTGCATCTATCAAGGGACTGTCCCACTGTGCTGTCTCTTCTGTCTCAGCGCCCAAGACTGTAAGCGATGCCTCAGGCTGAAGACCTGGCTGGTGCCTTGTACCATAGTCCCAATCTAATATGTTTTGTTTACATTAAGAATGGCAAAAGAACTTCCTCTTTTGTGGGTTACTCTCAACAATACATATAGCTGATTTTAATTATACAGCATGCCAGATCCTCTGCTTTTCTCAATCAAGGTAGCTCCAGAGAAACTGCAGATACTCACCAGTTGAGGAACTGGCCACAATACATACTTAGAAGCAAATTACATTTGTACTGAGCCATCTTAGTTCAGTGAGAATTTTCTTTCAATTAATGATCAATTTTGGTTAAACGCAACTGTCATGGTCATGAGGGATGGCCAACAGCCTGGGGACTAAGAGGTTAACTGTACCTAAGCCAGATAGCAGTCAGCCAATAGAAATGCAGATATGGATTTCAAACTGGGACAAAGGAATTTTTGGTTTTCCCTCCTTTGTCTCAGAAGCCAGTTTGCTCTCCAGATACTGAGGGAGACAGACATCATGTCTCTCTCCAAGAAAAGACTCTTCACTACCTTTAAGTAGGGTAAAGTTTAGATAAATCCGTTAGGTTTTATTGTTTGGGAATGGGAATCTGATGTCTGTACATTTAAAAATGGGGTTTCCTCTCTTTTGTAACTAAGCTTTTGGCCCATGGGAGTCCCCCATGAGTATATTAATTGGTGACTTTTCCATCTAGTCATTATGCTTGTAACAGGAGTATTGTGGTGATAAAACCAGGACACACAAAAATTAACCAATACCAGGTTAATTTAAAAAAAGAAAGAGAACTTTTTTTTACTTTAGGGCTAAGATTTCCCAAGTGATCTCTTCCCTGGTCTTCTTACCATTACTTGGGTGGTGGCAGCGGATTTTTATCCCCAAAAATCTAGGTTTTTAAGATTTTTGGGGGAAGCTTTATACCAAAGCCTTGAAAGATAAGGTTTTGGTAAGATAAGATTTAGGGTACTTTTGCAGGCCCCCACTTCTGCATTCATCGTGACAGAATGGGGATTTGGCCTTGACAACAACATTTTACTAAGAGACACAATACCTGTATAAAGAAATGTGTTTGTATGTCCTCCAATTACAATATCAATTCCTCTCACTTTTTGAGCAATCTTCTGATCCACAGAGAAAAGGGGAAATGCCCGAGACCTGAAGCCATGCACTCTGCCTCATTACAACAGCTATAGCCATTGTATGAGCTGCAGTGTCCACAGCATCCAAAGCTGCTTACAGTGCCATGCAGAAGACCACTTCGCCTTCTTCTGACAAGGTCCCAAACTCCTGACTAGACTCCGGCAGAAGGAGGTCCTTAAACTTATCCATGGCTGACCATGTGTTATACGCATATCTGCTCAACATCTCCTGCTGACTGGCGATATGCAACTGCAGACTCTTTTCTCCCTCTTCCACAATGGCATAGGCCATCCTGCCTAGCAGGTACAATTTTTTCAGGTCCTTGCTCTTTGGCATAGGTCCAGGCAGACCCTGCCTCTCCTTCTGGACAGCAGCCTGGACCAGCAGGGAGCCTGGGGTCAGATGGACAAAAAGGGACGAAACAGCACCTCTCCGCTCCTTTTTGGGTGGAATAGAGGCAGGCATTTGCCACGGTGTTTTTGAAATCTTTGCCACCATCTTATTAAGTAGCAAAGCTACCTGGAAGGAACATCTGCTGTCAGGAATATCTACCATCAGGTCCAATTCCTCTGGGATCTCTGCTTTCGCACCCAAATTGGCTGCAAGGCATTGGAGGTGGTGTGCCCTGGCATCCATCGTTGGCAGCAGGTTACAGGGTCAGCCAATGCCTCATCTGGCGACAAGGAGGAAAATTCCCTGACTAACAGCTGATCGCAAGGCACCTCCACCATCTGCGGCGGGAGGGAACGCATTTGGGGACAGAGTCTGGGGCGGTTTACCATTCCCCTCCACCAGAGGTCTCACCACCTCTTTATAAGAGGATTGAGTGGACTTCGAGGCTAGAGCCCTCAGCAGGGGGGTGGCAGAGGAAGTGTACCTAGAACGTGTGGCTACCAACAATGACCTTGAGTGAGGCAAACCCTGGATGCTCCTGGCATCCAAAACAGCCTCTGGACCTGCAGGTGCCACTGAGGTGGCCATGTTTGGTGTGCCATCAGGCTGCAGTGCCGGGATCGGTACTGTGATCTCAAACTATAGGAGGCAGCATTGGAACACACAGACTCAACCTCTGAGGCAGACCACGGTGGCACTGACGATGGTGTCAGTGACTGGTGTGCCTGTCTATGCTGGGCCATTGCCACTAGCTTTCCCCTGTGGGCCAGTGGGGACATCAATCGTGCAGGTGGTGCTATGGCTGGCAGATATGCAGCTGTGGGTACGGTACTGGAGGTGCCACCTGCACGGATACTGGCAAAAGTGGATACCTGCTGTGCCAGTGCAGCTGCCGATGCTGTTGCCGGGCCCAAGACCTACACAAATGTTTGTACCGGTGGTGGCGTGGCACTGTCGGTACCAGTGCTGGTGCCAGTCTGGGGCTGCACTGGATGTCACGATACCAACGGTTGAGCCTATCGTAACACTAACATAGGCTTGAGATGCCCAATGCCAGCTCCTGGATCCAGGCCTGGAGATGAATTGAGCTCAATGAGCTCCAACACAGTGTCAAAAGTCTTGGGGGTTGATGGTCACCAGGCCTCCTCTATCCTAAGGTCCAGCACCAGACACTCCCTATGCGTCAAGCTCACCCAGTGCTTAGCCGGCACAGGAGCATCCTGATGCAACATCATAGCCCAGTGCCCTTCAACATTGTGCACTTTGTGGCTGCATCTATCAAGGGACTGTCCCACTGTGCTGTCTCTTCTGTCTCAGCGCCCAAGACTGTAAGCGATGCCTCAGGCTGAAGACCTGGCTGGTGCCTTGTACCATAGTCCCAATCTAATATGTTTTGTTTACATTAAGAATGGCAAAAGAACTTCCTCTTTTGTGGGTTACTCTCAACAATACATATAGCTGATTTTAATTATACAGCATGCCAGATCCTCTGCTTTTCTCAATCAAGGTAGCTCCAGAGAAACTGCAGATACTCACCAGTTGAGGAACTGGCCACAATACATACTTAGAAGCAAATTACATTTGTACTGAGCCATCTTAGTTCAGTGAGAATTTTCTTTCAATTAATGATCAATTTTGGTTAAACGCAACTGTCATGGTCATGAGGGATGGCCAACAGCCTGGGGACTAAGAGGTTAACTGTACCTAAGCCAGATAGCAGTCAGCCAATAGAAATGCAGATATGGATTTCAAACTGGGACAAAGGAATTTTTGGTTTTCCCTCCTTTGTCTCAGAAGCCAGTTTGCTCTCCAGAGACTGAGGGAGACAGACATCATGTCTCTCTCCAAGAAAAGACTCTTCACTACCTTTAAGTAGGGTAAAGTTTAGATAAATCCGTTAGGTTTTATTGTTTGGGAATGGGAATCTGATGTCTGTACATTTAAAAATGGGGTTTCCTCTCTTTTGTAACTAAGCTTTTGGCCCATGGGAGTCCCCCATGAGTATATTAATTGGTGACTTTTCCATCTAGTCATTATGCTTGTAACAGGAGTATTGTGGTGATAAAACCAGGACACACAAAAATTAACCAATACCAGGTTAATTTAAAAAAAGAAAGAGAACTTTTTTTTACTTTAGGGCTAAGATTTCCCAAGTGATCTCTTCCCTGGTCTTCTTACCATTACTTGGGTGGTGGCAGCGGATTTTTATCCCCAAAAATCTAGGTTTTTAAGATTTTTGGGGGAAGCTTTATACCAAAGCCTTGAAAGATAAGGTTTTGGTAAGATAAGATTTAGGGTACTTTTGCAGGCCCCCACTTCTGCATTCATCGTGACAGAATGGGGATTTGGCCTTGACAACAACATTTTACTAAGAGACACAATACCTGTATAAAGAAATGTGTTTGTATGTCCTCCAATTACAATATCAATTCCTCTCACTTTTTGAGCAATCTTCTGATCCACAGAGAAACCAGAGTGCCCTAGTGCAATAATTTTATTCACTCCCAATGTGGTAAGCTTATCCACATGTGGCTGCAATGCTTTAACTTCATCTTCAAAGATTAGATCCTTTCCTTAAGAAAAAGAGAAAAGAGATTTTGTATTAATATTTATGAGGTGTCTAAAAATACTTCTGTTTTCACAAAACCAGATTATTGAAAGAGTTGATGGACTACGGTCAGAGTCCCACAAGCTATAGGGTGCTCTGGCCTCTCATTATTTAAATGTCCATTGTTAACATCAAACACAGGATTCTAAATTGTGATCCTTAAGTGATCTCTGAATTTTAGTGGCCATGGGTTCCCACATTCCTTTACTGAAAGAAACAAACGGGAGTCTTTGAATTAACTTTACTGGGAGTTGGGTTAGACTTTTAATCTGGCCCAGTGTTTTCAAGAACTGTATAAGCAACAAGAACATTTGTGCTCAGCCTACCAAATACTAATGAATTGAATTATGTAGACATCCATATATAACGAAACTAATTCCATAAAGAGATGCTGGTAAAAGAAGGCAACAGAGCAAATCTTGAATGATTTTTGACTATCATTAAAACTAAGAGAAAGAATTACATTCAGGTTTCTTTTATATGCACTGTTTGGGTATAAATAGAACATGTTTCTGCCATATTACCTTCCAACTGATTTTCCCTTAGAATCTTTTCTTTCCCCATGTTAATTCTTCTCCCACAGGGGCTACGTGTACACTGAGGGTGTTTTGCGGAAGAGGAAATGCAAATGGAGTGCTCATTTGTATCTCTCATGCTCATTTGCATATCTTCCGATTTGTGATAAAAAGCCCTATGTAGATGGGGCCATTTGTCAGAAAAAAAACCTTTGGCACAAGAGCCCTTATTCCTCAAAAAATGAGGTTTACAGGCTCTGGCGCAAAAGGGTTTTTTTCCGACAGTCTCCCCTCATTGTATCTTATTTTGTCTCTATATTTCCATGGCAGCTTCCTCAGAGACCCAATGCACTAAATCTGCAGGCTCAGGGCTAAAACCTACTTGTCTTCCATATGCAAATTATCCCACTGAATGAGACGAATCACAGGATCTCTCTGAAGATAGAGCCCAAAGACAGATTTTAAAGGGGTAATGATTACTCAGCTCACAGTGTTGAGAAATCTTATGGTTTCTCCGAAATGTGTTTTTATTTCAACAGAATAATTTTACTTGAACCTCTTTAATCTGGCGAAACTGGGTATGCTGCATTAAAAAATTTGCTGGGCTATGGAGGGTGCTACAGGGTATGAATGTGACAGGGTTGGTGGTGGGGTGTTTGCCTGTGCTCTGCTGCCAGGGGTACGTGGCTCTGCACTTCCCGCGGCTTCCAGGCACTACCCCCTACTGCTATGGTTGCAGATGGGAAAAGCCACAGTGGAAGTGCATTGCTGTGCTACTGTTCCCCAGCTGGTGGGGGAGGGGGAATGGCAGCATGCTGACCTGCTTCCACATCCACCTGCCAGGACCTGTACCCCAGGTGTTCCCAGATTAAGGACACCCGGGCTACAGAGGTTCAAGCTATAAACATGAACTGTATCTCTACTATATTTGCAGTACAAGTGTCACACTTCCCCCTCCCCCCAAGAAAAAGAATAAAACATAGCAGCTATGTCATGAGCTTGAGTCCTCTGACAAAGTTTTAAAATACTTTTCCCTTTTATTATTTTTAAAATAAATTCCCCATTAAACTCTCTAGCCAAAAATAACCAACTAGAAAATAAACCACACAAATGCCTTGTCCCCGTCCCTCACAATTCTCCTTCATTCCCAGGCATCTTGGGAGAATATAGGGGTGATACAACATGCCCTAGATCTGTAGAATTCTGCAAATCTACGGGTATCTGTGAATGTGGATGCGGATAGCTGCGGCTCATTTTTGAGGATATGGATACAAATTTTATATCTAGAACCCTGCAGATATCCACTTAATACCACATTTGCAAATGTGGATATAGATATGTGTGGATCATTTTTGCAGAAGCCAATTCCAATTTTGTATCTGCACAGGGATCTACAGATCTGGACTACTGAATAGCAAACGGGAATGTGAGAATTGGTCCAGAGTCCAATACTAAATGTTTCAATAATTAAATATTTACTACAACAGAGAAACATTGACAAAGCAGTATCACATGGTTTCACAAAATACGCTTGTGTTGTTGCTGAAGTATAACCCAGGATAAAAGCCAAAATCTCATAACTCATTGCTTGGTAGTTGGTCACCCATTTACAGGCAGTCCCCGGGTTACGTACAAGATAAGAACAAACCTATAGTCCCTAAGTTGAATTTGTATGTAAGTCGGAACTGGCTCCAGATTCAGCCGCTGCTGCTGAAACTGACCAGGGGCTGACTACGGGAAGCCCGAGGCAGAGTTGCTCTGCCCCCAGCTTCCTGGAATCAGCCACTGATCAGTTTCAACAGCGGCTGAATCTGGAGCCTGAGCTGCTGAATCCGGAGCCTGGGACAGAACAGCTGGGGCACTGCCCAGTAGGTTCCCACAGGACCAACCCGGCAGCACCCCAGCTGCTCTACCCGAGGCATCCCGCAACAAAAGCCTGGTCTGCTGGGGGGCAGGCGCACTAGCTGCGCCCCCTCCCCCCCCCAGCAGACCAGGGAGACCCGAGCAAAGCCGCCCAGGCGGCGGGACCCCCGCCGCCTGGGCAGCTTTGCTCCTGTCCCCCTGGTCTGCTGGGGGGGGTCCAGCAAAGCCGCTCGACATTAAAAAAAAAAAAAAGTGAGATTTCATTAAACCCTGTGTAAAAAAAACACATTTTCCTTAATTATACAGAATGTATATATGTTGACTTTCTTACCTTGCAATAAGGAACAAAATATAAAAAAAGTACTCAGTTTGGGTTTTTTTGGAGAAGTGCTTTGGGTGTTCTAAATGGAATGTTTATTTTCATATAACATGGACATTAAGCAGTTAAAAAAACCAGTCTGCTGGCTGTAGAGTTGAATAATACAAAAGATCTATAGCAGTGGTTCTCGAAGTGTGGTCCGTGGACCACTAGTCTTGCAGTTGGGCCGCACACACGGGGTTAGCTCCCCCCCCCTGAAGGGGGGGGGCTGGCCCGGTTCCCCCCGTGAGGTTGGAGCGCCAGCTTCCCAATGCAAGTGGAGCGGGGAGAGCCTCATGGGCTGAATCCGGCTTGCAGGGGAAGGAATAGCAGCACGGGAAACTGCCCATCTGGAGGCTTTTCTCACTGCTCCCATTGGCCAGAATCACAGCCAATGTGAGCAGCAAGAGGCGGTGCCTGGGAGTAGCTGAGGCACAAAGCCAGATCCCCTTCTGGCCTAGACACTGCACCCACATCCCCCTCATGCACCACTCCTG